CCATACGGACCCTCGGGCCCCTGTCGCCGCCGCCTTCTGCCCCTCTGGGCGTCCGCGTCGCTCGCTGCCAGGGCTCAGCGCAGCAGCCGGCTGGAGCGGGAGGTCAGCGTGGCGGCGGCTACGCGCGCGGCGCCCGATTGCGCCGGGAAGCGCCCGCGGCCATCTCTCCGCCCGCGACCGCCGTGGGAGGAGGGGGCCGCCGGGCGGCGGGGACCGTGGGGCGAGGAGAGCGGAGGAAACTTTATCTGGGAGAAGGCGTCCCGACTTTACTGGAGCTCGCCTCCCGCGCGCGCAGAGACACTGCGCGGCTTAAAGGGCGGCTGGGGCGCGGGCGCGGGGGTCTCCGGGCTGCCCAGGGTCCTCCGCGCTTCCTCCCGACTGCTTGTGGTTGCCTTCTGGGTGGAGGACGAGAAATCAGCTAGCCCGAGATGCCTGCTGCTCCCCTCCCAACTCTCTTAAAGGTCACACGAGCCCCGGGCATTTTGGGGAGTCCACGCGCGCGGGCGTCTGACGCCTCTGCCCAAGCGCGGGGGATCCAGCCTCAAGGTCCGACCCGCGCACCCGAGGCCGGACGCCGAGGGTCTGAAGCATCAAGTCTCCAGACCGTCTCAGGCGTCCTGGAGGGAGGGTCACCGCCTCCCTGTGTGGCGTGGCACCGGTGGCCGCGTCCTGACGCTGCGTTGGCTCCCCACGCGCGTCCACGCGGGGGTTTTTATAGCCAAGCCAAGCAGCTCACGTGCTCCTCGCCGCGTGGTCCCGGAACCTCTCCGGGAGCGGATCTCCGCGGGGAGCGCTTCCGAGGCCTCCAGGGCTCTTGGGGGGCCTTTTTGCTCCCGCCCAGGCGCGTCCCCCCCATCTCCGGCTGCTGTGCCCGCCCGGCGGCTCCCGGGAGCCCCGCGCGGCCCTAGGCGCGCCTGGCCCTGCGGGCGGGTGTGGTTCTCAAGAGCGCCCCCCAGCGCAACGTCCCTAAAGTGCAGGTGGCCGCAGATTGGGGCGGGGGCGCGAGGAATCGGAGTTGTCGGTGCTTCAGCCACTTTTCCAAGTCAGTGTAAAGCGTGGGTCAGCTCCATCTGAAGCTGATCCAGGGCGGCCGGAGCGACGCAGGAGTGTGCGCCTCGGGCTAGGGGTGCAAGGTGGACGGCGCGCGGGGTTCTGGTCGTGCTGTGAGATGCGGAGGGACCCAGACGTAAATTGCTGTCACCAGCCGCACTCCAATGCACCCCTCGAAATAATGCATAAACCAGGACAGGAAAGAAGATCTCCTGGAATAAAATAAGTGTGATTGTGTTGGGAAGATGCGAGCAGGGAGAGAAGAGAGTGATTGGAGCCTTAATTCGAGTTTAGTCTCCAGGTCCCTCATTCTGGGTTTTTGGACAGGAACATGTGTCTTTTAGAGAGGAAGAACAGCGTTTCCAAATCCTTGAGATGAGGGACAGGGTGGATAGGCAGAGGATGAGAAAGCTCAGTTGCAAGTTTTATCCTCTTACCTGGGGCCTCTTATTAATCTAAGCAGTCGAGTCTCCTCTGGGCCTGCACTTCCTCTGGGGCCTGCTGGTGGCAGTGAAGTCCTACACACTGCTGTTTGTTTTCTTACCCCACCCCAGTCCCAACACAGGCGTTCTGGGGTAAACTCTTTGGAAGAATTGGGTCTCTAGGTTTGTAAGGCGGCCTCTCTGCTCCTGAGAACCAGGAGGCAGGCAGCAATTCTTTGTGAGAATTTGATGCAATCCTGAACGTTCCTGGCTGTTTTTTGACTCCATTTAGCAAATGATTTCCTCCCTCTCTCCAGTCTCATTCTCAGATAGGAACACTTTGCAGCAAGAAGGGGGTTTCTGAAAAGTCCTCTGATGTCCCAAGAGATGTGGACTGAAAGTTCTGGAACAGGTCACGAATATACAGTATCATCCTTTATGAATATACAGTCTTAATGGGAAAAGGAGCCATATTTCAATATTGCATAAAGTATTATTATCCATTATTTTATTTATTATATTGTTAAGAAGTTGCCAGATTCTCAGGGACCTGCCTTCCTGCCTTTTTCCTTCCTTCCTTATTTGTTTCTCTCTTTTTAAAAATAGGATTAGTGTTTGTGTCTTTTGACCTTTGCTTCAGATCTCAAAGTGTTGCATTTTCTTTGGATGACTTTGGGATTTTTGGCAGCCTCTATAACCTAATTAACTGTTCTAGACAGGCCGAAGTTTAGCATCTGCCAGTGTCACTGCAGACCAGCCTGCAGAGGAGAGAGAATTTCACATTGTCTGTGAGCCATGCTTTAAAAGGCTCTCTGCACAACCAGCCTTGCCTCAGGTAGAGCAGACTGCTGTCTTTGGGGTATTCTACCTAAGGATACTGATTACACACACACACACACACACACACACACACACACACACACACACTCACACACACACACACACATACACACACACACGCAGAAGCATTATTTCTCCACATTCTTGAAGCATCCGACATCCTAAAACCATGGATTCATTTCTTAGCATATAAATAGTATAAGGTAGGGGTCATCCACGGTGACAATACTTTATTATGGATTAATTAGTTTTGTTTCTTAACCTGAGGAATGAGAAAGGAGGAGAGGAGAGGAAAGGGCATAACTGTGGAAGGCACATCTGATTTTAGAGACTACTTTGTTTTTTATATCTGTTTGAAGCACTTTATAAATATTTTCTTTTCTTCAGTAAATATTGGGAGTCTTAGCTTTGCATTTTGCACATAAGAAAACTAAGGTTCAAAAAAGTAAAATGACCTATCTAAGGTCACACAACTAGTTAATGATAGAGTCAAGATCCAACTATCATGGTTCCTGTTCCAGTGTTCTTTGCAACATACCACCTCTAATTTCTAATTTTGTTGAGGTCTGGCCTTTGCTGACATGATTCATACCCTGGACAATGGATGTGCAGGTCTGGGCTCATAGATATGGAAGACTGGCTATCATTTATGTTTTCTAGATAAGAAAGAAGTTCGTTATCTACATGATCATGCAAGACTAGACTCTTTCAACATCTAGGTTGTTGATCAGATGCCAAAACTTTCAAATTTTCTGTTTCCTTCAGGTCCTGCTCCTTCCTCATGAGACCACTTTATAAAAGTGGATGGAGAATTAAAGCATCTTGAAATAGGAAGGCATATGAAAAAGGGGCCAGGGACCAAGCTTGTGATCAAGAACAGGCATCCCCTTCTCCATCCTCTCAGCTACCACTGGTTAGAGGGCTAAAGGACCACAAAGAAGTGTACTATCTGTACAAAAAAAATGGGCCCAGCCCTTTATAGAACAGGGCCATGCAAAGGTAAAATTGCCAAGTTCCTTCTACTCAACTGCGCTAGAAGGAGCCTTTTGAAATCCAATCCCCCCTTGATATATCTATGATGCCCTCTCACAAAGTGTAATTTTATTAAATAAGGGAAAAGAAACTTATTTTCTAATGATATTGATATATAAGCGTTTCTCATATGCTAGACACTGTGTTAACTTTTAATAGGCATCCCATGTAATTGCACTGCATCTGGAGTCTGGGCCCAGCACTTCCTATCTCCCAGCCTGATATCCCTTCTTGGACGCTGCTATTCCTTGTTTATCTATTGTTATGTGCATGTATCACCTTTTGTGAGGTAAGTGTACTTTGCTTGTTCCAAAGTCTGTGGTGTGCAAGTGTATCTCACCTATGTGATTTTTTCACCCAGCGACATAGCTGCATCACATGTCCTGTTTATTCTGCTTTGATGACGGGGGGTGGTGATTGAAAAGCACTGACCTAGCAGATTGGTCATTACTCAATATGTTTGTGCCTGCATGTGCGTTCACATTTGTGTCCATCAAATATACTGGTCAGGAAACTTTGGGATGACACTTCTATATTTGTCCTATTGGGGATTGGAATGAAATAGAGCTCCTAGTATTATGAAGAAGATTAAATTAACACACCATAACACTCTGTCTCAGGGAGTCTAGCCAAGGAAGCCAGTGATATGCTGTTTGTGTTTCTCAAACTTAAGAACGGTATCAGATTTCATATTACATTCATGCTCACAGTGGCTCTCCGATTTGAGTGATAAATATTTGGATCTGCTTTGCTAACGTGAGAAATGGATTAGACAGGATCACTCAAGCCAGGACTCCATGTTCCAAAGTTCCAGCTCAGGGTATAAGCTAGACCATCAGGAGCCCACTGACTTGTTTACAAAATGGAAATTTTCAGTCTGTGTGAGAATTTGTCAGCATAACAATTTGCCAACAGAGATTGTTGATTCAGAGGTGTCTGCAGCATGATAGAATTCACAGCAGCAAAGTTTTAAATAAAGTTACACCTTTCGGAAAGCGCTATCTGATGTTTTCATGACTCAGAAATTCTAACTTTATATCCACCCCCTTCCAAATCTGTTTAATGTATTTCTTGAGCAATCTCTCTCTTACAACCTTCTAAACACATTGCCTTGAGAGCACTATGCATATCACACAAAGAAGAAGAAAGTTAAAGTAAGTTTTTGAATAAAAGTTTGTAGATTATTTTCTATTACTAAATTAAATGTTTCGTTTTCATTTAACGATTGCCAGATTTTTCCCCCTTCATGGCAATCTCAAACATAGTACATGAAGCTGAGGTGGAAAGATCCCCTGAGCCCAGTAGACTGAGGCTGCGGTGGCTGTGAGAGTGTCACTGTACTCCAACCTGGGCGACAGAATGAGACTCTA